AATAATATAATTAATATAACTAAATATAAACCTTTTAAAAATATACTTATCGATGTAATCGAACTGAGTTGTTAAACACTTGTTAGTTTTTTGTTCTTATTAATTTTATGTTGTTAGTTTTTTGTTCTTATTAATTTTATGTGTAAATTTGAGGTGATAGACAATAGTTATTTGTACACTTATACATGTAACTTAGAAAAAAAAAAATCTTTATTATTCTAATTATAAATAACTCTTTTATTTACTATATTAGTTTTTTTAATATAATATATAAGTATCATAGTGAACAGATAAAACAAGAAATATTTTAATTATATAATATTTAATATGTAAGAAATGTAACTCAATTGGTAAATTAATAGGTAATCTTGGGATAAAATAATGAGTGATTTCTGAAAAAAAAAATATAGGAACTAAAAAGTTTACTTGTTTAATATATTTTTAATAGAAAAATTGTAAACATAATTACTCAATAAATACTACATAAAAAATATGAGAAATCTTATATCCTCCCTATATATAATTAAAAAAACACAACTTTTCTCAATTCAACATAAGCAAATCAATGAAACTAATATCTTTTTAAAAATTTTATGAACAAAAGTTGACTCGACAATATTATTAATGAATTTATGCAATTGTAAATATTTAATTAAAATATTAATTAAAAAATTGTAATTAAATATAATATAATATAGGATATACAAATATTTAATATATAATGAGGCAGATGATTGAAAAAATTCTATACTTTATATTATGTCTTTTTTGACAAATCTACAGTTAAGAACATGTGAAAGAACAAGATTATAAAGTTTTAAAAGAATATTAAATATAAAAAATAATATGAATAATAACTAAGTTGTGACACGCACTAATAAATATAAAACAAACTAATAAACAAAAATAATATAATTAGTATAACTAAATATAAAACTTCTAAAAATATACATATCTATGTAATCGAACTGAGTTGTTAAACGCTTGTTAGTGTTTTGTTCTAATTAGTTTTATGTGTATATTTAATGTGATAGACAATAGTTATTTGTACATTTATGCATGTAGATTAGAAAAATAAATAAATCTTTATTATTCTAATTTTAAATAACTTTTTTATTTACTATATTAGTTTTTTTTACTATAATATATAAATATCATATTGAACAGATAAAACAAGAAATATTTTAATTATATAATATTTAATATGTAAGAAATGTAACTCAATTGGTAAATTAATAGGTAATTTTGGGATAAAATAATGAGTGATTTCTGAAAAAAAAAATATAGGGACTAAAAAGTTCACGTGTTAATATATTTTTAATAGAAAAATTGTAAACACAATTATTCAATAAATACAACATAAAAAATATAAGAAATCTTATATCCTCCCTATATATAATTAAAAAAACATAATTTTTTTCAATTCAACATAAGCAAATCAATGAAAATAGTATATTTTTAAAAATTTTATAAATAAAAGTTGACTCGACAATATTATTAATGAATTTATGAATTGTAAATATTTAATTAAATTATTAATTAAAAAAATTATAATTAAATATAATATAATATAGGATATACAAATATTTGATATATAATGAGGCAGATGATCGAAAAAATTCTATACTTTATATTATGTGTTTGTTGACAAATCTACAGTTAAGAACATGTGAAAGAACAAGATAAAGTTTTTAAAAAATGTTAATATAAGAAATAATATGAAAAATAACGAAGTTTTGACACGTACTAATAAATAAAAAATAAAATAATAAAAAAAATAATATAATTAATATAACTAAATATAAACCTTCTAAAAATATACTTATCGATGCAATCGAACTGAGTTGTTAAACGCTTGTTAGTTTTTTTTTCTTATTAGTTTTATATGTAAATTTGAAGTGATAGACAATAGTTATTATTTGTACATTTATACATATAGATTAGAAAAAAATCTTTATTATTCTAATTTTAAATAACTTTTTTATTTTCTATATTAG